TCGCATCCAAAATAAAAGTTTTTGTTTACATAATATATGTGTGTATACTATGTATATTTATTATGTCTATATAAATACAAACACATGCATGCATATATTTAAGAAAAATATGTTATTTTTATATATTAAATATATTTATATATAATATAAAATATAAGAATATGAATTTATAAATGTATAAACATGTAACTATTTTCAAAATATATACTGTATGTGTGTGTATTTATATATACATAATACATATACACAATACACATACATGTATAATATAAACAAAAACTTTTATTTTGAATCTAACATAACATATGAATATAATCGACAATTGATTTATGTGAACTGTTTTTGGTTGTTCTAGGAGACTGCAATTTTAATGAAGATATTAGACAGCTACATCCAAGACAACAAAAAATGATGACTGCCATCGGCTGAGGACTTCGAAGTGTTTAATTCACATGGAATTTGTAATTGCTCTTTAATCAGCTGTAATTTGTTTCTTGACTAAACCTATTAACCACCTCCATGTCACAAGAAATGCAACAAGTTACACTTGCATATTTATTTTTTAGAAGATGTCCAGAATTGTATTTTTTTTTTTCAATAATTTGTATTAAATAAAGACCAAATTAGTGAAGTCAGTTGCTCCTGCATGCAACTACAATGTTAAAAGTGTCATAATTTTTTAATCTAAATTTCTACACTCAGTGGAAGTATATTTTTTAACCCAATAGCAGGGGAGTGAGTATTTAGGATTTTGAAATGTAGTGAATTACTCTTGGTGCTTTCAGTGATTGATGGGATTTCATAGAATTCGCTTTCAGATGGTGACCATAAGTGTTTTATGAAAACTGGAAACTTTACACACACTATAATATATCGTATTTATAAGAAAACATCAGAAGTAAATTCAAAACACGGGTGGGAGAAACAAAACAACATAAACTAAAAAGTAAACCCAACATAACAACAACATAAAAAAGTAATCGCAACTAAGGAAAAATGCTGTTTTGAGCAAATTTACATTTTTACAAACAACACAGAACAGAAAACATATGCAAATCTAAGACAAACCTCAGCAACAGACTCATCTGGACGGAAGATCATTTAACATTCTTTTCAAACAAATCTCGACAAGTTACGACAGTTACAATGACAAATCATGAAAAAGCAAATTTCCAAGAACTAAAATACACAGAAAGACTTTGAATAACTCAAGGTAAAAAAATGATATATTGTTTGTTAGCATATTTTTGTCTTGCCCTAAGAACTGAATATATTTCTTGTACAAACATAGTGTGCAAAGAGTAGCCTACCTAAATATCAAATACCAAATATTGGTTCTCTATATATAAATTCATTACATTTGCTAAGACAATAAAAGCGACAACAACCGTCTTTGACCTGGTCTTGTTCTCCATTTAGTCAACACAACACAACATAATTCTTTCCTTTATATACAACCTATATAAATAACAACAATTCATTTTGAACTAGTTCTCTTTGACCTTTGAACTGAAGAGAGGTTATGTTGTGTAAGAAGCCTGGATTATTTATTTATTCATTTTATTCATAATAAGAAGTTTTGTCCTTCTCTTCTGCTTTCAAATAATACAGTAGGCTAGGTAGGCTATAAATATGACACCGTTTAAAAACGGTAAAATTACCATTGAAACCAGACTTTTATTTATAGCCTATGACTCAAATGGGACTCAAAAATATAATTTTAATGACTGGTACATCACTTTCATCAACCTGTACTATCCACAACTATTTATTTTGCATAAGAGGGGGGAAATTGTTAAGATGGATTTGCAAAGTCTGCCTCTATATTTTCCTGGGTCTTTAGAACAACTGTTCATTATTTCATGCATTTCTAGCTAATAATTTTCAAAGTGGATCAGATTTGAAGGAATACAGACTGGTGCAGTTTCTTAAAACCAGTATACAATGATGTCTAAAATAGGCATTGGGCTGTACGTCGTTCAGAAAACAAACTGGGCTGCGTTTCCCAAAAGCTTTGTGAGCCTAAGAAGTTCGCAAAAACGATCGTACGACAGATCTTAATATTACGGTCTGTTTCCCAAAAGCTTTGTAAGCCTAAGAAGTTCGCAAAAACGATCGTACGACTGATCTTAATATTACGGTCTGTTTCCCAAAAGCTTCGTCACTTAAGTAGCACTTGAAAATCATCGTAGATCTACGAGTGCTCTGGAGTAATCGTAAAGCCCGAAGTGCATCGTTGTCTGGAACGCAGCATTAGGTTAGCATTTCAATAAACGAGCGTGTACTACAATTACGAGCCATTCTATAAGGTGACATTTCAGCACTTGACAAACGGATAGCGACTGCTAGCACTTAAAGCACGGCTACGTGCGATTGTGTTAAGTGCATTTTTGGGAAACGCACGTGAAACAATAACAAACGATAGTAAAATGACTCGTAGAAAACGCTCTAAAGCTCTAAGATCAATCGTTATCGAGAAACGCAGCCCAGCGCAGTTCGCGATATTGAGGTCAGTGGGACACGTGACTGGCGCTGTCCAGTTGGATGCTCTGGTGACTAGCGGAACCTGACAATCGCACGATATGCATCTGCTATTAACGTGAATTCCTCTCCTTGGATTAAAATATATAGCCTAGCCTCGGCGTGATCATGGGACAGTGTGGTGTTATTTCTTCGAAGACGGTCTTAGTCTTCCTAAATTTGATTTTTTGGGTAAGTTGCCTACAGTATAAAAGCTGGGATGGATGCAGTGGTTAGCGGCATTATGGCATAGCTCTGCAGGGAGGGATACACGAGCTACAGCGAAAGAGCAGTTGTTTACACGCATTGCACATTGGTTTTGTCTATTTTGTCCCCATGTGTCACGCCTGAGCAATAGCTACTATAGGCTATTTGGTTAAAGTAGCGAATGTCAAATCACATAGGCTACACAAATTATATAGGCCTAATGAAAACGCTGTTTTTAGCTTTGCATTAGACTTAGCCTACATGTCTATCCATAAAATAATGATTACAATAGAAGGAAAGAAAAGCAAGACTACACATTTCAATATCGTTGTATAGGGATTTTTTGTAGAGCAGGGATAATTGTAACACTTTTGGTTTTTGTTCTACAATTTTGTTCTGCGTTTTGTTTCATTTATTCAGAAAATTGTAAAGCTATTGCCTCCAACAACATTAAGATATTAGCAGTCATCACACATGTTAATTAAATTTATATCGATAAACACACACACACACACACACATATATATATATATATATATATATAACAGTAGCTTGTGATGAATAGTAATGTTAATGTTTATCAATACACTGCCTAAAACACTATGTTAATATCATAATACACAGCTTTTAATTTTGACAATTTTAATAAAACTCTATAAAGAAAAACTTGGAAAGAATGTCAATGAAATACATTTTAAAATCTAACTTATTCCACATTTTAATTTTGTAAGAATGAGAAATAAAACTGCTTAAAATTATGTCTGATTTGATATATTGAATAAAATTACAATCATAAAAAATACAAAAGGGTGTTTATTAAAGATTCCATGTCGATAGATAATAATAATGATGATGAATAATGTTATCACGGCCAATGGGAGTAAAGCGGTTTTGCAATTTCACAACAACTAACAATATTTCTGTCGCACTCTTCCCAGGCTGCCGCTGGTATACTGTGCTACATTGGGGCCTACGTTTTCATCACGTATGATGATTATGATCATTTTTTTGAGGATATCTACACTTTCATCCCTGCCATGGTGATAATTGCTGTGGGCACGCTTCTTTTTGTCATTGGTTTCATTGGATGCTGTGCCACCATTCGAGAAAGCCGCTGTGGCCTGGTCACGGTAAACTAGAGTCTAGTACCCCCAATTTTCACATACATAGCTTTGATGATTTTTTATTCAGAATGTTTCCTGATTGTTCTTGTCTAATTTTTCTGCAGTTCTCAGCAGTGCTGCTACTGGTGTTTGCCACAGAGGTGGTTGTAGTGGTGCTAGGCTATATTTACAGAGCCAAGGTTGGAAATAATTAAATAACATGTACATGTGCATGTAAGTAGTTTGAAAGTGTCATTGATAAAACATTGAAATGTCTTTTCTTTTTCTCTGAAAGGTCGAGGCTGTAGTGAATCACTCTATTCAAAAAGTATATAATGAATATAAAGGCACCAACACAGACGCTCCCAGCAGGGCCATCGACTATGTCCAGAGACAGGTAAGACCATCAGTTCCTTTGTCTCTTTTTCCACCATTTTTCCATTTCTCTAAACTTCTCTTCTTACAATCTTTCAATTTTAGCTCCACTGTTGTGGCATTCATAACTACTCTGATTGGATGAACACTCGCTGGTTTATTGAGTCCAAAAATAACAGCGTTCCAGTGAGCTGCTGCAAGCCCAGCATCAGTAATTGCACTGGGACGTTAATGCGACCAGGAGACCTCTACCCAGAGGTAACAGCCTCACACACATTCTACAGACCTGCAGCCCAAAACTATTAAATGATAGTCTAACCGAACTTCTTGTTACAGGGCTGTGAAGTTCTTGTAGTAAAGAAACTCAAGGACATTATGCTGTACGTCATACTGGCAGCATTAACGTTCGCTGCCATACAGGTAAAAAGTCATTTGCGGTCATACACTCAAATGAAGTGGTCATTTGTCACTTAAACAGTGGTCTATGTGATTTTAACAGTAAATACGGGAAGTGTAATATAATGTAAACAGCACATAAAACGTTTTACTTAGAAATAGCCTAATCATAGTAATTACTTGGCTACTCAACAAATAAAGAAATACGTAGACATGAAAGATTGATTTGAAATTAAATTATTTTCTAATCTTATCTGAATATTAAATTAAAGTTTCGGCTAAGATATAACTAGTCCATTACAATACGAAATAATCAGCTTAGCAACATATAGGTAACAGAGACGTTAGATGCCACCACTTGTGGTTGTGTATGAGGCCCGCGGGTTTGCGAGACATGAAAGTAGAAAACATTATAACAGAGAGCTGAAACGTTGGACCCAACTTTTCATGGTACAAGAAGAGCGGTCTGATATACAGCAGAGCCTATGCTCAGACAACAGTGAATGTTAGGAAATATCAAGCTGCGTTCCAGACAAAGTAGGTGTGAATACTCGATTTGAATTTCCCACTTCCGAACATTGTATGTTACATTTCATTAGAAAAAGTGCTTGCTGCAGAGCCAATGAGATGAAGAACACAAGACCCAGGGGGTGAGGTTGGATCCAGATCCAACTCCTCCCACCTTACTTATCCCTAAACCTACCCGTCTTCACCCCCTGATCCCTAAACTCAGCCAACTCCACCCCCTAGATATGGATCCAACCTCGCCCCCTGGATCTTGTGTTCTGCAGTAAGGGGCTACTGGAGCCCATGGATGGAGCTTGACATCCAGCTCCCCCTCTCTGGGCCTCTCTGGGCCAAATGGGTGGTGCAGAGGTCCACCCATTTGGCCCATTTGGATCTGTAGTGAGCACCACTCGTCCAATTACAAGTTCGTTCACAGATATGCAATACAAGATGACACTATTACTCAATGTATCTCAGTGTGTGGCGCTGTTTTTTATTTATTTATTTATTTTATTTTATTGACAACACAGGAATATAGAGTCATAAAAAACATATAAATCTATAAAACAATAAAATCAAAACTTTTAATCTTATATAAAAAAAAAAGTCTTACATCTAATACATCAATTGCCCTTTTGAACAGCAGAGATGTCTTAGCTTTATGATTGTTCTGTTTAGAGATTAAAGAATCGTAAAAGATAATTAAATCAGTAAAAAACAGTTTACCATTTGGTACAGACAACATGTATTTTGCTTTGTGTATATGATTAGTTAAGAAATTTGATTATACTGTGCATCTCCAATAAACCAGTATCACATTCCATAAACAAGATCCTATTGTAAAACAGATCAAAAATAAACAATATATCCAAAAATAGTCAAAAATAATTTTGCATAAGTACAACTTAAAAATAAATGTAAGCTTGTTTATGACTCCTCTTTACTCCTTCAAAACAACAAAATACTACTTTAACCTTTCTACAGTCATTACATGGATCATATTGATTTATTATTTTAGAGTTGCTTGACTTACACTTAATTAGAATTACATATGTATTTATATTGGAGCAAAGTTTCTGGAAAAAGAGAAGGATTATCATGATTACATGATATTTCTAATATAAAAGTCTTTTTTTTTTTATCCCTGATGTAAAGACCACCAGTAGGAACCAGAAGAGAACCAATTATACATGTTTTCATTTTTAATAATGTGAATAAGATTAGGGGAAACACAACAAAAGAGTTTTAAATAATCTTTTGAAGATACATTTATCCCAAGAATATTAAAGGGGTCATATGATGCGATTTCATTTTTTCCTTTCTCTTTGGAGTGTTACAAGCTCTTGGTGCATAAAGAAGATCTGTAAATTTGCAAAGACTAAAGTCTCAAATCCAAAGAGATATTCTTTATAAAAGTTAAGAGTCAACCACGCCTGCCTAAAACGGCTCGTTCTAACACGCCCCCACATATCTACATCACGATCTGGGAAGATTTGCATAACGCCGCCCAAATGTTCACGCAAAGAAAAAAGGCGTAACTTTTATTCTCGCTGTAGTATTGTTGCCGCTGCCGCCATGTCCTGAAGACGCTGTGTGCTTCGTTGTGAAAGCGAAACTACTTTCAAAAGAGGACGATATCCGCTTCGTCATACCTGGAGCTGATCTGTGCTGGTCGCTGAGGAAATACATCAACTTAGTGCTGTGGATCCCCGGATCGGCTTTCACCGTTTTCACCGCTCCTTCGCCGGGACCGCCGTTCTCAACCCCGCCGCCTCAGCTCACTCTATCCCGGCCTCAGCGCACGCTAAGCCGGGGCTTCCCCTCACGCTAGGCCGCTGTGTTTTTCGTTGTGAAAGCGAAACTACTTTGTTTGGTCTTCCAAAAGAGGACGATATCCGCTTCGTCATACCTAGAGCTGATCTGTGCTGGTCGCTGAGGAAATACATCAACTTAGTGCTGTGGATCGCCAGCACATTTTATGGAGGACTGTTTACTGATCCTGGGAGAGTTACGTTAGACTAAAATGCCGGCAGTTCTGACTCACGTAAGTACGTTTTCATTTAAAGGATTTGCCACTGATGATTCAAACGCGAGTTTTGGGCAGTGTAGAATAGCACTTGTTGTTTGTCATTTCTCTGATCACAAATACAGACAGGGTTTTATGTTTACGCGGCACGATGCAATGCAACGCAACGCGTAAAAAGACAGTATAAGTCATTATAATCAGTAATTATGTCCCCACTGGATGCAACAAATGCCTCGTTTGTAATGGGTTTTAATGTTTATGTCTCGTCGCTCAGGCCGGACACGGCATCAACAGTATGTGAGGGGCGTAACATTTCCGTCTCACGCTTGAGGTATTCGGCCAATCACAACGCACTGAATAGCTGGCCAATCACAGCACACCTCGCTTTTTCAGAACGATGAGCTTTGTAAAAATCGACGCGTTTCAAAAAGGCGGGGCATAGAGGAGAAACAATAATGTACAGTATGTGGAAAATAATGTGTTTTTTTAACTTTAAACCGCATAAACACATTTCATTACACCAAATACACAAAATAATGTTCTTTTTAGCAGCATCATATGACCCCTTTAACAACTGCAGCTGTCTTTTACACTGGTTGTTTCTCCTGTTCTTAGGCCAGACATAAAAGTCAAGAAAACAAAATGTTTGTGTTCTCTTTAAAAAAAAAAACAATATGCCTACTATAAAATAAAGTTATAAAGATACTGTGTAATAAAGATACACATAGCATGTAATATTACAATAAATACTGTATTTTAGATATTAATGTCTTCTCAGAAATTGCTTATATTTCTTTAACCAGAGTTCCCACTTCATTTTTACATGTCTCTCCTTCTAAATTCTTGATACCAGATATGTACATTTTTAAAAAACTGCAATCAAATGACCCTTCTCACCAATCCAGTAATTATTTTCAAGGAGACGGTATAGAATATAGAGGGTGAGTCTCAATCAGGCTTTGGCTCGATCACAAAATCCTTCCAGTGCACTGGAATGTTCGCTCCCTAAAAAAATCCCACAATGCACTGCGAAAACCAGGGAGAATCTTTGCTCACTATGGTCCTTCATCAGAAAATATATGCAGTATTAATGCACTTTAAACAGCATTAAAAAGCGAGATCCTGCTGTTGTTGATAAATGATATGAACTATATAACTGTCACAGTTGTGGGCTGTTTGTTGTGTTTTCTTCCTCTGTGCCCATATTTGGTCATGTTCCTGTATTCTCATTATTAGTTGATCCTCATCACCTGTTTGCCCCTCCTTATCTGCCCTATTTATAGTCCTCTTTGTGTTCCGTTGACTGTGGGCTATTGTTTAATGTCACATGTGTTTGTTCAACCTGGAATATTTACCTTCCGTGTATTGTATGGATTCTAATTAAAAGCATTTATGTGGATTACCTTCATCTTCCTTGTCTTCCTTGTATCAACCGTGACAGAATAACCGACCTAAACATGAGAAACAGGAGGTATGAACTGGCCTCTATCAGTGTGGCCCCGCGGGGTGAAGTCAATAACCCTTCTGGGGTCACTATCTTCATATTTCAGAACGGCCGAAACCTGGAGGAATATGTGTGGGAGTTTTTGGACAAATGCCATCTCGCCACATCGCCTCCTCTCATTGACCTGTTCCCTTCCTCAACGCCCTCTCCGCTGGATCCCGTCAGCCCCTCTGCTCACCCTCAGCTCACCATCTGTGGCGTGGGCTCGCCGCTGGTCTTCCCATCTCCAGCTAAGCATTTATGTGGATTACCTTCATCTTCCTTGTCTTCCTTGTATCAACCGTGACAGAATAACCGACCTAAACATGAGAAACAGGAGGTATGAACTGGCCTCTATCAGTGTGGCCCCGAGGGGTGAAGTCAATAACCCTTCTGGGGTCACTATCTTCATATTTCAGAACGGCCGAAACCTGGAGGAATATGTGTGGGAGTTTTTGGACAAATGCCATCTCGCCACATGTGATGACCTCACCTTAATGGAGGGATTCTGGTGCTGGCTGGACGACGATATCCGTTTCGTCATGCCCCAAGCTGATCCCTGCTGGTTGCTGAGGAATTACATTAACTTTGCGCTGTCGTCGGAACTTCAGCCTCCGAGGCCCAGACCTGCGACCCAGCGGCTCCACCATGGCTTCCAGCTCCCTCATCTCCACTGGAGCCCGTCAGTCCACCAACTCCACCAGGCTCCCTCGTCCCTCCGGCTCCGCCTTGGTCAGTCGTCCCCCTACCTCCACCTCAGGACTTCACTCCTCCGTGGCTGGACGACGATATCCGTTTCGTCATGCCCCAAGCTGATCCCTGCTGGTTGCTGAGGAATTACATTAACTTTGCGCTGTCGTCGGATCAGCATTCACCGTGGACAAAGTTGAGTCCAGCCCGGGGTCATCACATGTGAGTGCCGCCAGCCCAGAGTCATCGCCGATCATGGCCACTAACACTAAGCCCAGTCAAAGACCCCCTAACGGCACGGAGATGCCCGAGCCCACTGCAGATGGAGAGCCATCGCCTGCCGCAGTCATTGAGCCATCGCCATCAGGAGCGACAGAGCTGAAGATCGCCCCGGAGCCTGAGCCCCAAGTGTCTGATCAGGTGCGAGAGCTCCGCCTTGGTCAGTCGTCCCCCTACCTCCACCTCTGGACTGCACTCATCCGGCTTTGCCTCGTCCCTCCGTCCCTCCGGCTCCTCCCTCCCTCCAGCTCCACCTCAGTCCTCTGTTGCTCCGGCTCCGCCGCGGCCTTCCGGATCTCCGCCTACACCTCAGTCACCGAAGCCTCCGGCTCCGCCTTAGCCCTCCGGATCCTCGGCTTCACCCTGGCTCTTCGGCTCTCTGTCGCTGCCTCGGGTTCCGCCGCCGTCGATCGGTCCCCTGGAGCCGTCAGCCCTTCCTCCACCTTGGCTCCTCCCTCCGTCGGCTCCACCATGGGCCGCCATCATGACTGTGGCCTGGCTTCTCCTGCTCCAGGTCCCGCCTGTCTCCTCCCTGGCTCCTCCCTCCGTCTGATCCTCCCTGGCTTCTCCCTCCATCTGATCCTCCCTGGCTCTTTTCTCCATCTCCACCTTGGACTCTGGTTGTCGTCCTCCTCCCGGGTGTCTGTCCTCCGCCGGAACCTCCTCCAGTATGTGTCTGCCTGCCTTCCTGCCAGCCCTTTTCCATCCCACTTCCACTCCTTTGTCCTCCTCCTAAGTCCCCCTCCGTCCCACCCTTTTTCTCTGCGGCACGAGGTCGCGCCTTCCGGGAGGGGGCGAAATGTCACAGTTATGGACTGTTTGTTGTGTTTTCTTCCTCTGTGCCCATATTTGGTCATGTTCCTGTTCTCATTTTCTCATTATTAGTTGATCCTCATCACCTGTTTGCCCCTCGTTATCTGCCCTATTTATAGTCCTCTTTCTGTTCAGTTGACTGTCGGTTATTGTTTAGTGTCACATGTGTTTGTTCAACCTGGAATATTTACCTTTTGTGTATCGTGTGGATTCTAATTAAAAGCATTTATGTGGATTACCTTCATCTTCCTTGTCTTCCTTGGATCAACCGTGATAATAACCCTACTGATTCTAACAGATAATGCAGAATATTTGAAATATGTTCTCATAATATTTCCTGTCATCATTCTCAGTGTAATTGTATGTTTTGACCATTGTTTCCTTTTCTGTGCACAGATGCTTGGGCTGCTGTGTGCGTGTGTGGTCCTTTGCCGCAGAGGTCATGACCCTGCCTATGAACTGCTTATCAGCACGGGTATAGATGCCTGAGAGGTACCGCATGGCATCATGGGTACGGCTGGTCCTCCCAGCCAGTGTACTGTACATATTTAAACTGAATCAGGCTACCACTTTTCTACACTAGTATTAAAACCAGTTTCAGTACCTTTGTTTGACATAAAATCAAAGCTTTGACAGCTTGAATAGCCACACACTGCTTTAGTTTTGAAGAAAATGTTCCTAAAAATTTTCCTAGAAGTATTGAATCGTTTCTTTATTTACAGCACTACTGATATTTGCTAGAGTCTGATGAGCAGAAAATAATCAGTCAGTTGTTTATTATATTGTAAATATTTTACACTAATTGATTTCATGCGTCATGGTAATGTGCTATCATGTGTTATTAAGTAGTTGTTAGGCCAAAGACTGAAGTCACTGGTTGACATAGTTCAGATATTTCCCTTATTTACAGTATGTGTTGTAGAAGTAATCCTTCTGAGTCATAATGAAGAAGAAAGATTGTTTTAAATTTAAATTATTTTCTGACAACTTTCCTTGCTTCTTATTTCGAGCTTATCTTTAGAGAAATATTGATACAAAGGGTTTAAACTAAATCATTACTTTTAACTCTTGCAGCAGCATTAAACTGGCAATTAACAACAAGGTTACATAACATAAAGCATGAATTACACTATCAGTCAAGTATTTGGCAGTAAAACAATCAAAAGTGCAAGTCTAACAAAACAGTTTATTATAAAAAGGCATTTTTTCCCCCCCGGAAACTGTTATATAGTAAAATGGTTGTGCAATGCCTGGGACCAGGAAAAAAATGTATTCTATGAGTGACACTGCTGTATGTCACTCTAACGGAAGTGTTACTCTTAAAAGGTCACTGACATGAATGCGCATATAATACTCACAATGTTCACTGTAGCATGAAAACACTCATGTTTTCACATTATTTGATAAATTCATGCTTTTCATTTCTCCCTGCAGAAGTATAACAATGACTAATGCAAAGTACCTACTGTAATGTATGTTGATCTGGCTCAGTTAATTTCAAATAAATCACTGAAACGAAAATTATCCATTAAGTGATTGCTTTTTTTTATATATTATATTGCACATTAAGACTGTGTATTATTTATTCAAGCTCAAACATTTTTACTCAAAAAAATCTAAAAATAAATAAATATAAATGTAAATAAAATATACATTTAATTTTCACTTAATGCACATACTGTAGTTCCTCTAAAACTTCTAAAATTGACAAAACAAACACAAGCTGTCTGAATCAGTCTTACATCTTGTAATGTGGGGTTTGGGTTTCATGTTCTTCTTCTTCTTCTATTGAGATTAATTGGCGGTTGGCAAACAACTTTTTGGTGCATTACCGCCACCATCTGGGGGTTTCATGTTCATTATTTTCATGTCTTTTATTTTGTAGTTTGGCCAGTCATGTTCTGTCATGTGACCCTTGTTGTTTGATATAAATAGCCCTCATGTTGCCCACGTCCTTTGTGGAGTATTGATGTTGTAACCTGCTGTCGGTGAGTCAAGTCTGTTAATGCCATGTCAAGTCTGTTTAAGTCAAGTCAAGTCTTTCTTTTTCATTTCATTTCATTTCTTTCATTTGTTTGGATGTTTGGATTACTTTGAATAAAAGCTGCACTCCCTAGTGAAAAAAAAGTATACCAAGTATACTTGCAGCCAGACTAATTGTCAGTATACTTCAAGTGTGTTAATGATTAGTTAACTTGAAGTGTGCTATTTTGGAACAACTATTTTTGTACTAAGTGTATTTTAGTTGTAATTAAATTATACTAAAGTATAACTTTAAGTGTATTTAGTGTACTTTTCTGTCATCACTGATCCTTGGATATCATGATGTAATTCATGTGGTGTGAAAGAACCAGTATTTGTCTGGGCTGTGTATGCATGAGTTGATCAATGTTCAGATTTAAATTTCATTCCAAAATATTGTACTGCTTCAGAAGACACATTTGTGCTGCTACATTTGCAAAAATAGCAATTAATCCAAAAATGAAAAAATATACTTAAAAAACCGTTCAGAAAGTGATGGTTTACATCTCGCATAAAACCCATCAATTAAATCAATGTGAATTCTAAGTTACTTACTTCACTTTAGGCTCGTAGTATTACAGCCATCTTGTTGCCTTTGACATCACTCCACGCTGCCTTTGCTCTGAAAACATTGATTTCAAAAACATATGCAAGTATGAGTTTCAAATTTAAAAACGCGAGGCGCAAATATCAGTCTGTAATGGTAAATAACGTTAGCAAAACAGCCATCACAAATGCTCCTCGAGCCGCTTTGTTAACCGGAGCTTCGGCTGCATTAGTAAACTTAATTAGCATCACATGGATATGCTAGATGAAACTGACGAAGCGGATCATAAATAACGATTTTAAAAAGTTCAAAGTTATTGTAATATAGTGAATGGGCGGGCTTGTCTACCTGTTAAATTAGTTTCTGTGGAGCGAGTGACGGTTAACTTAGATCTGTCAGCCGTCTTTCTGGTTTTCTTGTTTGTCTGTCTCCGACTGAGAAAAGCACAACAACAATTATATATATATATATATATATATATACGTATATATATATGTTTTTTATTTTCCCACTGACAAACTGTGGTGTAAAACACTGTATATTTAACACTTGCCGTTGATAACTTTGATGTAATGTCGTGTTAATTCCTCTTTGCTAGCTAATACATTAGCGTTGCCGA